TGGCCGACAAAGATCTGCATAGTCAAAGCTATGGTTTTTCCAGTAGTGATGTATGGAAGTGAGAGCTGGACCATAAAGAAGGCTGATCGTCGAAGAATTAATGCTTTTGAATTGTGGTGCTGGAGAAGACTCTTGAGAGTCCCCTGGACTGCAAGAGAACAAACCTAGCAATTTTTAAGGAAATCAACCCTGAGTGCTCACTGGAAGGACAAATCCTGAAGCTGAGGCTCCAATACTTTGGCTATCTCATGAGAAGAGAAGACTCCCTGGAAAAGACCCTGATGTTGGGAAAGCGTGAAGGCAAGAGGAGAAGGGGACGACAGAGGACAAGGTGGTTGGACAGTGTCATTGAAGCTACCAATATGAATTTGACCCAACTCCGGGAGGCAGTGGAAGACAGGAGGGCCTGGCGTGCTCTGTTCCATGGGGTCACGAAGAGTTGGACACGATTTAATGACCAAACAACAACATGTACGTAGTTCGAACTCACTGTCCTTTTGAATATAAAACAATACTATAAGACTCAATGGCATGCTCTGTTTATCCACAATGTTAGCCCTTGGTTTCAATTAATAAAAAGCCTTAAAGAAAGATACTAGCTTGTAAATAATGTGTCATTTCTATATATTTATATGCATTTTTAATAAAACAATAGATTTTTAATCATATATGAAAAAATGGAACAGCATACATATCATTTTATAAACGGTGTCTATGTCCACTTTGTGCTAAGTTGCCAAGGAATATTTTTATAACATGAAGTATATATGAATCCTTAAAATTGTTTCTACCCATTCCAGATTTTTTAAAATCACTATATAAATAAGCAGAATACATGTGTACTATAAGCATTAGCTAAAGCCATTGTTCTATATATTCAGAAAATTGTAGGATATTAGCATGCAAGCAATTCACAGAACAAGAATGTTCTGCTCCTCCTACACTTTTAAGTCTTATCAAACTGTACCAGTACAAGTTCCTCAACTAAAAAGAACAAATCCTTTCAATGATCACATGAATATCAAAGTACATAGGTATATTTGGCAGAATACCTTCAAGTTCCAAGTAAATCTCAAGGAGAAAAATGGTAAGGAAGAAAAAGCACATCCCTGACAAGGCAAAAAGGAATTCCTTCAGATACCTATTAGGGAAGCATATGGCTATTCTGCTGCATTGACTGGATAACAAGGCTAAATAATGAGGGAGAAGTCCATACTCTGTCACCTACCCCAGTCTAAAAATATATTAACATGAAACTGGTGTGGGGAGAAAGTGTGCTGCTTATATACCGCCCCATAGTGCTTCAAGCACTCTCTGGGCAGTTTATGAGTTAATTATGCAAGCTACAGATTCCCCCCCTCCCCCGCGAGCTGGGTACTCATTTTATCGACTTCGGAAGGATGGAAGGCTGAGTCAATCTTGAGCCGGCTACCTGGGATTTGAACCCCAGGTTGTGAGCACAGTTTTGGCTGCAGTACAGCAGTCTAACCACTGTGCCACAAGGAAGTTCACACTGACCTCAGCAACAAACTGCATACAAGTTAAAATATTTTTTGTAGACAACACCTGACCTGCATAAACAACTTTTTTTTCCAGGTTAACATCTTGCCCATATCCAATGCTCTGGCTATTGTATGTCTCATAATTGCAAGGAAATTAACTATTATTTTTAAATACCTATTTGCAAAACTGCTACAAAGTATCTGGCTGTTTGGCCATCATTACAAACATTTGTGGTAGACTATAAGATGATATTCATTTAAATCAGTAGCACATGTCATATAAAAAGAACAGACAATTAGAATTAGACGCTGCTAAATAAAAGTGCTATTGATTAAATAAAACAGTTTTTGGTTTTAAGGAAAAAAATTAATTATTGGGGGGTTGTGGAGAGAAGAAGCTATTATTACTTACCACCTCCTGAGATGCATATTTGGGATCCTCAGGATCAACCGACCAATAGCAGTAATCAAATCCAAATTCCACAGTTTTCTCCCTTGTGTCCCAAAGATTTTCATACCTGTTGTCTACCTGAGTTGAAAGGAAGTAGAGGTATATAATAAATGGTAATTGTATTGGCAAGGATTTCTCTAGAACTGGTTAGCTATGCTTGATAATAATAACATTATTGAGTCAAATTATTAAGCTTAAATAAAAAAAGAATATACAGTATATGAAAAGAGCACAAGTACCACTAAAAAGTGTGTCCTGATTATTGCAGTGAACCAATCCCCCCTCAAATCCTATTATTCAATTACTACATAATTAAAGTAACAGTGCCACATTTCATTAACTAAATTAACTGCCATTAAATTGGCAGTGATTGGTTCATACTGTATATGCATTTTACTTACTGCATTTTATGCATTACTTACTGACTGTCACATAAAGTGGCAATTTGCACACATGAATAAGCCTCCAGAACTGTTCACAAAATTAGTAAGTCATTTCAAAGCAGGAGAAACAATACTTTTCAGTGAAAGCACATTAACATTTTCAGTTAAAAATTGTTTTAAGAAGCCCAATGATATACTTTGTGAAGGACAGCGTTGGTGTTCATCCTCCCTTGGGCTCAGCCTATCCCTGCCCTCAGAATACTGTGGAAGAGGATTAAAAAGCAGAGTGGCCATTAAGGAAAGCGAAGAAGATCTGCTTTTGTTGAGAGTTAGGAGGAGGACTGGGAGGTAGAGAGAGAGAATGGGGACTTGAGTGGTTCGGTGTAATGGTGAGGGCAATGGTTGGGAGATTAGTCAAAGGTTAGAAGATGTAGGGCTGACTCCCTCCCTTTGCATATTTAAAAAGCTCTTAAAAACTGAGCTGTTCAGATAAGCTTTGGGCTAAGTTCTCCCCATGTAGTTGGGACAGTGGATAAAGGAGGGGAGGAATACTGAAGTTTTGGTTTTGAATGGTTAATGCCACCAGCAACATTACCTCTAATTTTCCACCAGCACTGAGTGGAAACCCCGCCCTGCCTGCATAAAGTTCTGTCTGCAGTCAGAACCAAATGAGCGATAACGCTAACTGTGGGTGCGCTGCATCAATACAGCACTGCACAGCCATACAGCCACACAGCTTAGAGGAAATGTTGGCCACCAAAGGTACTGTTTAGTGTCTGGAGTAATTATATAATTTATATTTCATATTTTTGTTGTACATCCCCAGAGTAGCAGTTGACTAGATGAGCGGTATACAAACAAACAAACAAACAAACAAACAAACAAACAAACAAACAAACAAACAAATAAATAAATAAATAAATAGAAGAGGAACATTGCAACAGAAACTGTTTATTTGATAATCAATCAACCTAGTGGTGTTTATGTTGTGTTCAAGCTTCAAAACTTGTTTTGTTTTCTAACATAAACTTATGGTTAGGGAAGCTATCGGGTCCCTGTCTTCCACTGACAAAGCACAGAAAATAACAGGACTCTATCCTTTGGTAGAACTTCAGGTCGGGGTTCTGGAGAATAGAAATTAAGTGGAGCGTAGTATCCCCAGGCAAGCTCCATCAGTCAGACCACCTGGCTATGAAGCTAGGGATCAGGAATTCAATACTCTGCTGTGACTTGTAGAAGAAAAAGTCACTCTGTGTGGCCTTGGGAAAGCTATTTATTTTTATTTATTTATTTATTTATTTGATTTATATCCCACCCATCTGGTCTGGTCGACCACTCTGGGCGGCTTCCAATAAGGTGTATACGATAAAACATAAGAATTTTACAAACAGTCCATAACACAAACAATAATAAAACAAATAATAAACGAAAGAAAAATAAAGACAAAATTAAATATTGACAGGAGGGAAGGCCTGAACATACAACCATGTTTTTAGTTGACTCTTAAAAGTGCCCAGCGTAGGGGCCGCACGAATAACCGGAGGAAGGCATGCTCTTGGGCATATGTACAAAGTGGTGGAGGAGTGCACACACCTGCCAGCACCAGTGTGAGCGCTCCCCCATCTCTTTGCGCATGCGCAGGAGCGTCTGCATGTCCGCCTGCCCAACCCTTCATGCGGGCACTCAGGCGCTTGCGTAAAGGGGTGAGGGAGTGCTCACGCTGGCACGTGTGTGTGTGTGCACGTGCATGTGTGTGTGTGCAAAGCAGCTGTGGGGAGGGGAGTGTGTGCGGGGAGGCGGGAGGTCTGTCTCTGTGGCCCGGTCCAGCTCAGACCACGGACCGTTACTGGGCCACGGACCAGGGGTTGATGACCTCTGTTCTAGGGTATTAGCTATTCCGCCCAATTTGGTATCATCTGCAAATTTGACAAGCATTCCCTGTACTCCCTCATCCAAGTCATTAATAAAAAATATTGAAGAGCACTGGGCCCAGGACTGACTCTTGGGATACCCCATTTGTTACCTCCTCCCAGTTAGAGAAGGACCCATTAATCACCACCCTCTGAGTAAGACAGTTAGCTTTCTAATCAGGATATGATGGGGCACCTTGTCAAAAATTTTGCTGAAGTCATGATATACTACGTCTATAGCATTCCTATTTTTGAGGTGCACATGACTCACCTGAAATTAGATGAAGTCACACATACCAATACCTAAAAATTGGGTGGGTGGGCTCTTTAATTCATTCATTCATTCATTCATTCATTCATTCATTCATTCATTCATTCATTCATTCATTCCATTTATACCCCGCCTCTCTGGTCATTTCGACCACTCTAGGCGGCTGAATTAGCATATTCACACCATATACATCCCACCTGACATTAGCCAGTACAAATGGGAAATATCTTAAATGGCAGGCAAAACTTGTAAGTCATAAGTGTAAATGTATACATCAAAAGCAATCTTATCTTCTATAGGATTGCTTTCTAAAGTAAGCAGCTTGAGAATTCCCATTCAACTCACTTCCACATCATTGCTCCCTTCAAAAACACTTTATCTATGGCGTAATAAATGAATAAGAATATATTAGCCATGTTAAACTAACATGAGCTGATGTTTCTTTTGCCTGCTGATAGTATTTAAACTGGTCTGTTGATCATTTAATCCAAAAGGATTATTTATAAAAATGAGGTTTATACGACACAGTAATTCAGAAGCAAGCTTCATTTAACTCAGCATACAGTGATAGATTAATTTTGACTGAGAACTCTGATTTAGAATCTTATCTTCAATGGCAATTTGTGATGTTTATTTCCCAAAGCAAAATAAAAGATAGCTCTTAGGGTAGGGTGTATGGTAGGTAGTATAGAGCTTAGAGCAGGGTAGGCTCTGCAATGCCTAGCCTAGAGAAGAGCCCTGCAGGACTCAAAAGGGCGTGTCTGCATGATATTTTAGCAATTCAGTTAAGCTACAACCTATCACTGATTTTGGACATTACATACGGATCAACAGGACTATATTTGTTTTCTTGCTTCATGAAACTTTGTAACAGACAAGAGATTCTTGTTACAGTGGCTGAAATCCTGTTCTGTTAAGTTACACCATGTAAGACTGATGACTTGTCCCATGGACCCCTGCGGCTTCTCCACGAGAAAAGGCATTTCATGAAACCTTCAGGCAAAGGATTCACCACACAAAATATAATGATGGCAACCAACTCAGGCATATTGGAAAAAACAAACAAGCAAAAAAAGTCATGGAAAGTAATGCTAGTCATGATGTCTCTATCCTACATCCAAGATGCCTCTGAAAGATACTGGCACTGCCTTCGTGACATGCTTCCATCTTTCTGGATGGTCACTGTAGTAGACTAACAGGCGTGTGGTCTTTATGAGCATATGGGCAAGGAAATAAAAGTTTTATACCAAAAGTATGAGTGCTACCAAAACTCCATTAAACGCTGAAAAAAGAAATTAAACTAAAATCCCAACAACTGTAAGTATAGGCATTTCTCGTGGAAAATAAATGTTCCTGCACTGTCCCAGGATAGAAAACTGTATGATTGTGTTTATCTATGTTCAATTATGTCAGGCACTGTTTTCATTTTTATGAATACATGGTTGCCATCAGTCCAATATATGAAGGAATCTCCTTTGGACAAAAATTTGCAAGGTCTTATATGCAAAAAGAAAAATTGTATTTTATATAAGCAGTTTACTTTCCACATCACAACCTACAGTAAAGAATACAACAACTAGTCTCCTGAATTTCTCAAATCCCAATGAACACTAGAATAGATCCAAGAATTAGACTATTTCTAGGAAGAATATAAAAGGAGGAGGAAACCACTTATCTAGGTTTTTTTTATCACTGCCAAACTTCCTCATAGCATATGTAAAATACTAATTATCTTAAGCAAGTCACCTAAAAGTAATCAGGCTGACACACAGACATGAAAAAACACTATACAGGAAATAGAAAGCATCTGTCTAGTAGAATTCCCACAGTAATCACAGGAGCTTTAGAATTCACTTATCTGCCTTCTGACTAGTAAAATACATTGGCAACAGAAACCAGTTTTGGCCCTACTTTACTATTTAACTAAGGGAGTACAGTAGCATTCAGGAGTCCCAATGTCTAGGGGGAAAAAATCCAGCTCTGTTTCCCATGCCCTATAAAAGAAGCCTCCAAGAATCTCAAAAAGGAAAGGATGTACAGTCTCTCATGGCCAGTCCCCCATCCGGATGTCAACTGTTGCTCTGTCCAGTACATGTTTTTTTCAAGTTTCACAGAAATTTGCATAAATCATATTGGACTGTTATTTAAAGGGAGGGCAGAGGAGAAATAAAGAAGGCACAAAATGACACTGTGCTTATCTTACAGTTATTAGCAATCTATTATGGTCTTGAAAGAAAAAAAGGCACATAGCTGAAATGCAGGGAAATGCAGTAACAGCAGCACAGCTAGAAAAAGGTTAATTTTACATTGTTTTGAAGGTCCACAGAGGTTTATTCAAGTTCTATAAGGAACACAAAGACTGCCAATTTAGTTCCCTTTCCAGCATTTCCTTCCTGTTTTATTTTTAAGCTTGCTTCTGTAATATGAAAGAGTGACCATCATCTTCCAACATATTTTTCACAGAACAGATAAAAAAATGTAAAAGAAAATAAATTAATATGCTTGTTTTTTTCCACTTGTTGATAAGTTCCAATGACTAGTGAGAGAACTAAAACCCTCTTAGTATCTTGCATTATACCAACTCTGCTGACACCAGCACAGGTTCAGTTTTAATGCCAGGATTAAGAGAAGCACTCTTGTACTCACGGTTTTTACCAGAAGAAACTAAAGATCTCTCAAAATACTGTAAAACCACCTCCATGTTGAAAAAGACACATGAGAACGTGGCACTACTACAGTGTTTCCCATCCTGTGGGTTGTAACTCCCAAGGGGGTCACAAAGTGCTTTCACGGGTTGCCTTATATGTGTTGTAGCCCTTGGTAAATAATTTCTTTCTTGGCCTTTCAGAGCAGAATATTAAAGTTAATGTGTATGTGAATGTATGAAAAGCAGGCCCTTTGAGGGGAGAAAGAAGTCTCTACTTTCTGAGAAGGGATGACTTTACGCCCTTAAGAACGTCTTTTTATGCAAATATGATGGGGGGGGTTGCAGGTTATTTGGCATTTTCTTGTTGTTTAGTCATTTAGCCAGGCCCTCCTGTCTTCCACTGAGTTGGGTCAAATTCATGTTGTGTTAGCTTTGGTGACACTGTCCAACCATCTCATCCTCTGTCATCCTTTCTCCTCTTGCCTTCACACTTTCCCAACATCAGGGTCTTTTCCAGGGAGTCTTCTCTTCTCATGAAATGGCCAAAGTATTGGAGCCTCAGTTTTAGGATCTGTCTTTCCAGTGAGCACTCAGGGTTGATTTCCTTTAGAATGGATAGGTTAGTTCTCCTTGCAGTCCAGGGGACTCCTCCAGCACCACAATTCAAAAGCATCAATTCTTCGGTGGTCAGCTTTCTTTATGGATCAGTTCTAATTTCCATACATCACTACAGGAAAAACCATAGCTTTGACTATGCGGACTTTTGTCAGCAAGTTGATGCCTCTGCTTTTTAATATGCTGTTGAGGTTTGTCATTGCTTTCCTCCCAAGAAGCAGGTGTCTTTTAATTTCGTGGCTGCTGTCACTATCTGCAATGATCATGGAGCCCATGAAAGTAAAATCTGTCACTGCCTCCATATCTTCCCCTTCTATTTGCCAGGAGGTGATGGGACCAGTGGCCATGATCTTAGTTCTTCTCGTAGAAATTTCTAATTTGACCCTACTATAGTTATCTCCACTATACTATTCTACAAGCCACTCTGTTACTGTTACAATTTATTTTTTTAAGTTGCTACGTTGTCACATAAATAAAATAAAGATTAAAATGTACCTTTATGTTTCTGACTTTCGCCACTCTGTCTTCAACTTCTACAATTAAACTTCTTCCCTCTGCATTCTCTCTGGAAATAATACAAGAAAACAAAACAAAATGTTAAAATAAGGATGGAACACTTGACTGCATTAAAGACCACAAATGCTTTGTATTAATCATTAAGGGTATGATCCAGCAAAGATTCAGTATGTTTACATTCCATAGGTTTCAGTGGAAGAGAGTTAATCATGTTTTTAATTTGTCCATTCAGAAGAAAAGAATCTGAAAGTGCAAATTCAATGGTTTTATTCCATATATTTCTGTGCACTACTGTATAATAGTTTGGTCATAATAATAGTAATTTATTAGGTACAATCATCTGGAGACCTAACACCCAGTGATCAATTTAAAAATACTACGAGGAGCATCATGTTAACAGAGAAAAATAGTTCAATTGGTCCCATACCAACCAGTCCTGTACACTGAAAATTTGAAGTATTGTGGGGAGCACAAAATACTTGAGGCAACCATAAATAGATCAGTGCTTAAATAACTGCCCTAAAATAAGTAATGTAAAATAGCTTTATAAACATTTGAGGTTTTCACCAAAATGTACTTAAATAATCTTACATTTTTAAAGTATGATGAAGATACACATAGACATGTAACTACCCAAAGCTTGAGACCAACCATAACCTGGAGCACAATTCCACATAATAGATGTAGCTGTCTGGCACTTTTTAAAAAGAAAAGCCATTTCAGGAAGCAATCTTTTTTACTACATAGCTACAAGTGACAACTATATCCAGTATTGCCATTTCATTACACTCCAGAACTTTTTTTGTTTTTGTTTAGCTACTACCAGCACTGTACCAGCACTACAGACTCTATCCCAGGGAAACTAAAGTTCATGCCTATTATTACTAATTTTCACATCTCTTTCAACTAACCAGGAATGGAAAATCTTATTCAAAATGTATCAACAATTTGAAAGTTATATGTGGAGAACATTCCCTAAATATAATTTATAATATATTGGCAATATATAAATACACTTGTTTTTCAATACTAACAGGAAAGGAATGGAATTAGCATTTTCTTATGTAAACCATTGTTTTTATTAACAAAACACTGATGTCACATTACACTAAGGGCTGTTTAATGTTGAGGAATCTTCCTCAGGACCACAACCTGGGGGCTTCTTTGGGCTCTCCAGATGTTGATAAACTATAATTCTAATAATGCCTCCATTGGACAAGCTTGCTATGATTGCTAGAAATTGGAGCTCAATATGTGGAGGTTCCATCCCAGCATTAAAGGACAGATAAATTTTTCATCCAACATCACTACAGTCTCAATTATTCCTTCCCGTACTTGGTGCTATGTGCAATTTTGAAACACACAACTTAAATGCAAAAATACATTTAACAGTGCAACAAGCTCTTTTCAACTTTCTTTGCTTTTGAGTCTATTCCCAATGTAAAAACATAGAGGAAAAAAAGGCTGAAATAAAAAAAGTAGACAGCTGCCTTCTAGTAGCAGGCATCTGTCCAGTACCCCAGTGAGCCAGCCAATCTGTTCCAATGCATCACAACAGCTGAACAGCCCACATGCACCACTCATCTGCACTAGTGGACAAGGCAGGAAACCAGAATTTGGAATCAACTTGTAGTTACAATTGACATTGCCTGTAACTATTTATTTTTCAGATAACAAATATATGTATTTTAAAAGTAACACAACAAGCAGATACAAATTTGGGTGTAATAAGGAAGGCTTTCAAGTTACATTGCAAAATCACTTTCAAAAGTCATTTTAAGGTACTTTTAGAAACAGGTTTACACATTTTCCACATTTATTCCTCTCTTATCAGTTCTAAATGGAAAGCAAAACGTTAGTTTGTTTAGTCCTTCGTACTAAGTCTTCTAGAGAGAAACAGTAAGAACATAAATAACTTCTGTGAATGGAGCAACAATAGTAGTGTAGCTGAATCTGGTTGTGACAAAGTAAGAGTAAAAGTTCCCTTTTTTTAAAAAGTTCCAAGCTCTGTAGCAAACTCTGAAAAAATATTTTTGTGCTCTTCTACTGCCACCAGTACTAACGTGGAGGGCTCCCCTTTAAAAAAAAGTCTCAAAACAAATAAAAATATTGCCCATGTGACATGCATGCAAATTGATTTATAGTTATTTTGTCCTTCTACAAAATGGCGTGTTTGCTATATCCTGTATTGTGTCTCAATTAGTTTTTATCTTTGGAACAAGCCAATAGAAAGCATATGTTGGGCAACATTCCAGAGGTCACTTGGATGAAGGCACATCATTTCAGTTAAACGGACACACATGTAACCCTTCACAGAGGACATGAGTCATTTTTCACATGCATACACACTGTACTACAGACAGAAAGAGCTCTTATATTCACAAACACTGAAGCAGATACAACCCACATAGCTTTCTAAAATCTCCCATCCACCAACATTCATGTCTAGTATTTAACAATCCCTACACCATCCCCCATTTAGACAAAAAAAGAGAAGTTGCTACATGGATCTCTCTTATGGGATTCTATTCATACCAGCTGACCCCCTCAAGAACTGTGACAAGATGTGCAAGATAAAAAAAATAAAGCACACATAGTAACTTCATTACACTTTAAAGACTGTTATGGTACAGTCTTTAAAGACCAGAGCCCACTTCATTTGGAGTGTCACTCCAAATTCCAATAGATATCAATGCACTTGGGTAACTACATCATACAAAATAACAGCTGGAAAAAAAAATCAGAAAGGAAATTGTTCAATGATCTTGCAAGAGAAAACTAATAGCTTAACAAAAGTGCTATCTTGAAGGAAGATAACTTTATCCTATTAAAGAAAGAAGCAATAGGTGGCTTGTGACCAGCCCAGGAGGGCCCACTAATTTTAAAATTGGGTGGTGGTGGTGGGGGTGAGACTCCTTCCCTGGTCAAAACACAAGTTGCCCTTTTAGAGTTCTGCTTGGACTTAACAGCTCGTGGAATAAGAAACACTGCATTATAGGTGGGAGAGGGAGAGAGAAGACAAACGTGGTGGAACGTTGGTTAAAGTATCCCATACTGTCAGAACAGTGTTCAAGCAGCATCCTTCCATCGAGTTTACTTCTATTTGAACACAAAGACTATCCCGGCGAGGTACCACTTTTAACGCCCTGCTCAGTCACCGCAACCTGTCACACACTCGGGACTGTACGTAGCCCCACCCCGTTTTGTTTTCACACGTTGCTATTATCTCTCCCTCTTGCGCCTTACATTCTTCGAGCAAGCAAAGAGGGCTCCGTTCTTCTTTTCTTCCCCTACCGCCCACCTCACAGGCCAGCGTTTCAGCTCTTCGGGACTCCCCACATTTCAGCCAGCACCGCGGCCAGCACATGTCCAGCCGGCCCCTCCAGTTATTCACACGTATATGTTTTTTTTGGGGGTGGGGGGGATCCACAAGACACCCGCCACGGCCACACACGCACTCTAGTCCTCAACGCGCATTCCTCCGTGCCGTCTGAACAAGAGAGAGCGAGAGCGCGCGTGTATGCAGCAGGGGCAGTTTCGTTCTTTGTGCACGCAACTATAGTCCTCAACGCGCATTCCTCTGTGCCGTCTGAACGAGAGAGAGAGAGCGAGAGCGCGCGTGCATGCTGCAGGGGCAGTTTCGTTCTTTGTGCACGCACAGGGGTATCTATGCCCACCCGAAGTCTCCCCTCATTCCTCACACACACACAACCTCCGGCCCACCTTTTGCTGAGAGGCCGGACCCGCACAGCAACTTTGACATTCTCAACGCGCATTCCTCTGTGCCGTCTGAACGAGAGAGAGAGAGCGAGAGCGCGCGTGCATGCTGCAGGGGCAGTTTCGTTCTTTGTGCACGCACAGGGGTATCTATGCCCACCCGAAGTCTCCCCTCATTCCTCACACACACACAACCTCCGGCCCACCTTTTGCTGAGAGGCCGGACCCGCACAGCAACTTTGACATTCGCCATGTCCCGCCCGAGTCGCGGGAAAAGACGACGCCACCAACGCAGCCGCCCGAGCCCCGACTCCGCATCACATTTGCGGGACTCCTGCAACCGCTGCAGCTGCTCCCAGAGCCTATCTTCGGCTGCCCGGGGCTTCGCAAGGGAACACGGCCCAACCCCGCCCCGCGCGGCGGCTCCGGAGGGAAGGGCCTGCCCGCCTGGGAAGACAAGAGGAAATGGGGAGGGGCTGCCTGTGGGGCGGCCTCGCGTTTTCCTCAGCCTTTCCCCGCCGCGCCTCGCCTCGCCTC